CGTATCTTGGATACATAAATAACGAAGGAGGAACAGATGAAGATATTCTAAATAGATTAAACAAAGCCAGAAGCAGTTACGCTATTCTCAATAGATTCAGGAGAAAAAATTGAACAAAAATTAGGATTTTCAATACTAATGTTAAATCTTTCCTACCATTTGCACCTGAGACAGCAATAAAAATAACGTGAAAAAACTTGAAGCATTTATTAACAACTGTTGCGAATCTTGCGCATCAAATGGTTCCATGACATTTGTAAAACAGAAATCCTTAGGACAGCAAAAGCAATCCATCTTGAAATTAAAAGACGTAAATGGAAATGTATTGGTCATGTTCTACGTAAACCTGAAAAATTTATTGCAAAATAAGTTTTTGTTTGGAACCCTCAAGGCAAAAGAAAAAGAGGAAGACCCAAACACACTTGGCACCGGACGATTGTAAATGAATTGAAAACAATAGGAAAGACATTGAAGGAAGCAAAATATCTGGCCACAAATAAATTGAAATGGAAAGCCATGATATAAGCCCTATGCTCCAATTTGGAGTGTAGTGGAATATGTACTACATAACGTGGAGAAGCAATCTTTGTGACTGCTACCTACCTGAATATTACAATACCCCTTAAAACATAACATATCAAAACAAATTTTTTTTTTACTTACAGTTTTCCTGGAATACTGCTAGCACGAGAAAAAAGTTAAGGAAAGATGAAATACTCAAATTAAACGTATTCATTTTATGAAATGTTATTAATTGAGAATGAGAGGAATTCAACAATCTTGCTGATGAGAATACTGAGATGCTCTGAGTAAAATCTAAAGATGTCTTTTATAATAAAGTGAAAATTTTAAAAACGAGCGGAAGTTTAGATGATAAATGTGTAAAGAAATGCCATTGTCACAAAATTAACTATTTGTATTATGTTTAATATTATCTGTCAATTTTTTTATCCTTTTACGTCAATCAAAATTTATAATTAATGTTAAGGAAATCTTTAATTGAATTAAACTTTAAATCGCAATCAAACCGTAAACGATTGTATCATCATATATTGGAGTTTTGGTGAAATATAAATGATATGATGTGTAATTGCCTTATTTGTAAAAATAATTTTGCTAGCATTGTTCCCAACAATTCAACATCAATCTTCTAAAAAATGTGAAAAACAATGTAATGAAATATTTTAAAGAAAGAAAAAACACGTAAAATTCAAAATGAAACATAAGAGAAATGGGATATAATGCAATTAATGATGTAATATGATTTGATGTATAGCATAAAATTAATTTAAAAGAATTTTTTTTTATTGTCTATGGAGTTGTCGGTATACTGTACCTTACGAAATATGAGCGATATTTTTGCGAATCGAGAGCGGCTTGTATTTGGGAGAGTGAGGCTTTAAAGCAGTTTCTCGACCACTGCTATAGACTATATCAGTTTAAGTTATAACTATATAAAGAGTCTTTAAAATTTTCCCATATTTAATTATTATTTTAACTCTCGAATATGGGAAAGATAAATTTAAATTTCAAGTTTCTGAATTTGTACCTAACACAGGTTTTATAAACCTACTTTTTCACTGGGATGTATACTCATGTAATCGAGGAAATAAAGCAATAATAAAAAAACTGAAACATCTTGAGTATCCTTTGATCTATTGAATGGAATTTTACGCCCTAAAATACAATCGTAATGGTTTAAATAGGTCACTATAGATATGCATACTAATAACGAAAGTAGTCGGTATTTAAAGCTACGAAATTAGATACATTTTTTCGTCTGAGTCGGATCTCCTTCAGTCGTCATTATTTAGGCTTTAACCCGTCAGGACGCACTCTGGGCTTTTGAGATTGGTTATTGCTAAAGCATTGCACAGGCGAACCACCGTTTTTCAAAAGTACTAATCAGCTATCACGAGAACTCCTTCCGACTGTAGGTCGGATGTTTGTTGCCATGAAAATGAGAACAAGAATATAGCTATTTCTAATGGGGGGAAAAATGACCAAATAACTTTTCTAATTCCAATCCAAAAAGTTTAACCTTACAACCCTAGTAGATGTAACTTATTTTCGTAACCACAGTAACCGCAAGTACGTGAGTTTGGTGTCTGGTGGAGTTTATGGGAATAGCTGGACAGTACTCCAAATTCATAGTAGCTGCAATCAATGTAATTTTCATGCCTATTTTAAAAAGTTCTAGAATTTATCCCCCTCACTTTCCTTGAGAAACAGATGTGATGGCTCAAGGGATAAAGCGTTTTCCTCCGAATGAGGTGGCCCGTGTTCGAATCCTAGCGAAAGCTGGTCGATACGAACTCCGCACCTAGCTTGCACCGACCACAGTGGTGACGTAAAATATTATTAGAGATAGACGGATCATGGGCTAGAGTCCCCTTACTATCTGGATAACCGTGAAGATTTGCGTTTTTCTTTTCCTCTCCATGTAACACATATGTGGGTCAGTTTATCAAAAAGTTCTCCACATAGGCAAACTTCTCCCAAATTTTTATTCAGAAGTTTTCTTGTCTTCTGGATTAGATTCTAAATTACAAGGTTGAGGAATTGAACACTCGTAGCCGCGAACTAAAAAAAAATTAGGTGAGCTGTGACAGTTATAAAATTTAAAAAAATAGCATGAAATGCAAGTTTGTTATTTTTTAATTTATTAATCTAGAAATAACTACATTTTACATAAGATCTAAAAGCTAGAAATAACTAAATTTCACATAAAACATTTCTTTAGCTTATATATTTCAATTAAGTGTGTTAAAATATCAGGTTGAGTAAAAAGTTTTCCGCCAAAGGGAAATACCTCCGTGCTAGCAGCAGCCATTGCCGTGGTGGTTAACTTTTTTTGAAACGGGCTTTTGTATTTTAAAGCAGAAAGTTGGAACTACACAACTGTGTAATTTGTTTGTCAAAACTTTATCATCTTGTGCACCAAAAAATTTCTTAAAATGGAGCTATCACGTTAACAGATCAGACCCATTATGTACTATGAGTTCCGAAATAAACTAAGTGTAACTGAATGCCACAAGAAAATGTGTGAAAGTTTAGGTTTCAATACTGTTTCTTATGAGGATACAGTAAAAGTTTGGTTTCGAAAGTTTAATACTGGGAATTTCAACATTGAAGATGAACCACGTTCTGGCCGCCCTATTGAGGTTGATTGTGACCAGTTAAAGCAAATTATTGTTCAAGACAGAAATTTTTCAACACGAACTATTGCGTTAGAGCTTGACATTTGCCAAAAAACAATAGCAAATACTCTCAAACGCATAAATCTAACAGTTAAGTTTAACCGTTGAGTGACTCGCGAATTGACTGCTGAAGACAAGAGCAAGAGAAAAGCGGCCTGTTTGGTTCTGCTCAGAGATCAAAGAAAAGAGGACGTTCTGGACAGAATTGTGACCTGTGATGAAAAATGGGTATACTACAACAATACTAGCCGTAGAGGAGGGTGGTCAGCATCCGGGGAATCAGCAAGTTCGGTTGCAAGACGAACGCTAACTAACAAGAAGGTCCTTCTCCGTATCTGGTGGGATTGTCGTGGAATTATCTACAAGGAGTACCTTAAAAGCGGGTAGGCTATCAACAGTACAATATACAGCAATATGCTAATCAAAGTTAGCGATGCGATTCGCGAAAAACGAGAAAACGAGCTCAGAAGGAAGGTGATTCTCTTTCATCAAGATAACGCTTGGCCACATGTTAGTGCAATGACCGGCATGACGCTCCACACGTTAGAGTGGGATTTGATGCAACATCCACCATACAGCACAGACATGGCGCCTTCGGATTACTATCTGTTTTCAAATCTGCAGCTGCATCTTGATGGCACAATCTTCCGTTCAAATGACGAGGTCATAAATGAGGTCGATTGCTTTCTCTACTCGCGCACCCCCCAGTTCTTCGCAGAAGGGAATGAAAAGTTGCCAAAACGTTGGCAGACTATTGTTGATTTGAATGGAGATAACTATTCTCATTAGCTTTGCTGATTTTGTATGTGTTTGTCATTTTTCAGGATTTTTTTTTTTTGGCGGAAAACTTTTTACTCAACCCGATATATAAGTAAAATACAAATATTTATGTCTTACTATAAACATTCGTATAATTCTATATGTGGAGGAGTATGTGTGAAAGTTAAGCCCAGCTGGCGTTAGGGATTAAAATTCTTCGTAAAGCTTCCGGGTTATAACTTCAGATTTACTTTTACGCTTAAATTGAAAAAAGAGCGCTATCTAATTTTATTATACTTGTAGTGTTTGCAATATAAAGCGTTCATCTAATTTAACTTTCAACGACACTAGCAACAAACGGATTCAGAAAACTCCACAAGCTGGCTATGATGCCACTCAAAAAATATCAAAGGGTGATATTTTAATAAATATGGCCAAATATGGGATAAAACTCAAAACACAGCAAACCTCACGCTTTATTTATGTTGTGATATTATTTTTTTCAAATTTATTTACGGCTCATGACCATTCAGAATTTTAAGATTACAAAAAACTTTCAGGAATGGTAAAATTATGGGTAAATTTGAATACAAATCACTATAATAAAACTTCCTAGAATATGAAGCCTGTTAACACAAAGCCTAGTAAACATAACATAAGCGGAGGGATACATCGGAAGTTTTCTACTATATTTCTTCCGGTTTTAGAAAGTTTGTTATTGTTTAAATTCAGTCAACTATCCATGTATGTTTATAAAAATAAAAATTTTTTTCTTGCTATCGAATCAATATTTTTTTAAATCATACTCTTTTTAGTATCCAAAATTTCTTATAGTTTTTTTTTAAAAAAACAAAACGAAACAACAACTAACTATTCCTTTGGTTTTAAAAATTATTGTTATTCCTTTAGTTTTAAAAATAGGATATTTATTTCTGAGATTTTTCTACAAACAAATAATATATTCTAATTAACTCTAATTTTGTAATTAGAAATGAGTAAGACACAGGAAGCAAAAAAAAAAAAAAAGAAATATATCCTTTTTATTTATATTTTGGCATATTTTATTTACAATGAATTGCATGAAATGCTTCTAATAAATAATACAACATATAATGCATTGTATTGAACAATAAAATGTAGTGAAAATGATTTTATGTATATAAATAAATAAATATGTAATTGAAAATGCATTTTCAAGTTCTTCAAACTAAAGGATAGCTAGCAAAAGTAGCTATGCCACACTGATTATCCTTGTTCCTTGACATTTTAATATAACCATTCATACCATAAGATAATCCCCAACTGTAAATGAAAAGAAAGAAATATTACGAATACTTTTATATGTGCAGGTTCTTATGTGCAGGATTCTATTATGTACAGGGTGTTTAGTAATCTCTTTCTTTAATATTTATAGAATCATTGTCAAAAATGAAGTTAAAACTATTTTACTTTATCAACGCGTGGAACTAACTATTCAACTCCATGGTCTTGAAATTTTGGACCCAACCCAGAAAACAAAAGAACTCCTGGATTATGAGTAGAGCAATACACTCCTAAACGATAAATCAACATCGGGATCACAAATTAATATCCATATGAAAAATAAGCAGAGAGAAAAACTTCTTTAATCAAACAAATTACAATTGCAGAAGGCGGTTTAGCAAAATAATAAAACCCGTTAGATTGCTTATTGCAATTTAAAGGCGTTATAATAATCATCTTTCAACCTCTCTTTGTTTCCTCTAGTAAACAAATGGTTTTGATATTTTATACCACCCGTCCTCTTTAACAGTAATTTGTCTGATTTCGTAAACTTTTTTTTAAAATTTTATTTTCTCGATTAAATATAAATTTGCAAACTCCAATGTTTTTACTTTTTTGTCTCAATTTTTGACAAAGATTTTAAAAGTATATATTGAAGGTGGTAACTACGAAACACTTTTTTTAAATTTTATTTAGGGTAAACCAACTAGTGAAGGAACACTACCCAGTGAAGGAACATTTCATATATATTGGTTAAAAAAAAGAATATGAAAGTCTTTCTGTAGATTGATTGGTAGCAATAGCTTACTGCCTAACAATAGGAAGTCATCTAGCAATATTTTGGATTACCTGGTCACATAGACTTGTCTGGAAAAGTTTTTAAATTTGTTATTAATTCTGCAACACCTTGTTTCTTTGAAAAAATTATAAGGTGAGTGTTTGTATTTATATGTTTGAAGTGGAATTAATTGTAATAGTTTTATTTTTCTCACTGTGAAAATAAGAATTCAAAATATAGTTATTGAAGTTACAATTTATTTTTCTTAAGCATCATAGCATAATCAAGTACTGAGATAAGGGATTGTTTATTCACTGGATCATCAAACGATGAAAAACCAGTAAAGGAACAAGTGTTTCTTTACTGGGTTTTTTCTAAGTTAATGAAAATGAAAGAAAAACTTTAATTTTCTTGTACCTTTAGTGATGTTTTGCATCAAAAGTATGTTAAAAATACAAAAAACAACTTCTAACCAGAGAAGAAACAGGCATGTTCCTTTACTGGGCATAGATTTCCCAGTGAATGAACAGTATATGCTAATATGTTGACACTTTACTTTTCAATTCATGATCACAAATATTTGTATGGCATATTTGTATGGCATATAAATTCATAAAGAGCATATTAAAAAATAACCAAAATTAAGTGTTCTTTTACTGGGAAATTTTGTGCTCCTTCACTGGTAAGAGCTGTTCCTTCACTTGGTCTTCTTACTACTTGTTATTTGAACCTCCAAAACTTTAAAACAATATTATGCAAGTTCTCTACAATTTTTTTACATAATTTGCAATTAGTAGCAAATATGTTGACACTGTCATTTAACTAAAATTATGAATTTTGAAATTAATATGATTTTTTAAAAGGCAAGCGAAGCTTAAGTGTTCTTTCACTGGTTAGTTTACCATCTTAATGAGACAGAACTGCCATCACGTTGCTTCCGTTTAAACTAAATTGTTCTTTTTTTCCACGAGAAAGTAATGTTTGTTAGTAAATCCTGATTTATAGTTAAGTTTTGCTTTTTTGTTCATAATTTAAGAACGAAAAAAAAGGCTCAGCTTTCTAGATTAAAACTCTGAAAAAAATCATTTTTTTCTTTTAATTTGGTTGCTTTGCTGTGATATCATAAAATTTATGCAAAGCTATTTTTAAAAGCAACAGACTGATATAATTTCATCAATTTCAGTATAATGACGAAATAAATGCGTCAAACAGCTTTTATCAATTGTCTCATTGACCTAAAGGAGCTTATAATAAACTTAGCATCATTTCCTTGCAAACGCTTTTTCAACAACTAAAAAATATTTGTAACTTTAAAACTGTTAAGAAAGTTAATACCTATAGCCGTAAAACTGTATACACTATGTTTGAACAGATAATTAATAAATAAAATGGCACAAAAGATTAGGGCATATAACATCCTTTTTCTTTTAATAGTTACATGCATATATGGCAACGTTGCTTTTAAAAAGTAACGAGTAAAAGTACAAGTATTTTTAAAAAAAGTAACGAGTATTAAGTAAAAAGTTCTTATTTTAAAAAGTAACGAGTAAAAAGTACAAGTAAAAGTACAAGTACTAAACAAAAAAAGTAACGATTTAAAAGTACATTTTTAGGAAATCGAAAATTCAAAGTAACTTAAAATTTTATTGAATAATATTCTTATGTTCTTTAATGTTTTTGCAAAATTGTTGTTATTTATTTAATTATTCTTAATTTTGAAAGTTATGGACATTAATTTACTTTTAAATTCGGAGGAATATTATAATATAATTTTATGATATAATCGTATAATATAATTTTAAAATCAAATATAATTTTTATATCAAACTTTTTATGGATTTGCACGAAAAAGAAATTTTATCTATTGATTTTAATTTTTAGTTTATTATTTTTATTTATTTAAATTACCATTGATTTAAAATTGTTTTACTCTATAGAAACGCGTTTTAAAAGCACAAACATAAACAAAGCAAACACGGGGTTTCAGATAGCTTTGTGATCTTTGAGCTAGTAAAAAATAATTGAATGTGCAGTATAAGTTGAAACAGAACAGTCTACAGTTTTATTTGTAACAATGGCTAATGCTGAAGTCATGCGAGAAAATCATTTTCCGAACATTTCTGCCTAACGGAATAATTAAAATTTGTAAACGAATTTTAGTATCAGCGGCTAAATTAATACCTTCGAGTTTTCAAGAGTTAAAATAGTAATTATAATAGTTTTCAGTAGCACAAATAGTTCTGAAGTTCTTAGAGATTTGACTGGGCGTTGTTTGACAAGGTCGGGCATAAACATAATTTTAGTAAAAAATGTACTAGGTAAAAATGTATTTAGTAAAAAATGTATTAAGACAAAAATGTATTATTAGTGAGTTCAAAAAGAAAATTGAAAAACGTAATAACAAAATCCAACATTTTTTATTTAAAATGTATTAAATAAATGCATAAAACTCGAAAATGAATGAAAATAACTTGCTAATTAATATTTTTATTCATTTTGCAAAATAATTGCATTTTGACAGCATTTTTTTTAAATTTTTTTTTTAGAAAGCTTACCGAGTTTTAGAAAAAAGTAACGATTTCATTCGACATTTCCTTTACAAATACTTGTACTTTTTCCCCAAAAAAGTAACGAAAGTACAAGTAAAAGTACTAAATTTAAAAAGTAACGAAGTACAAGTAAAAGTACGTACTTTTTACTTGTACCGGCGGTACAAGTAACGAAAGTAAAAGTACTGCCATATATGGTTGCATACAAGCTAATGTTAATTACTCATGAATACATTCAGTACTTGCTTATTCACTTTAACATGGCTTAAATATGTTTTAATCGATCAATTTTTCAATACCTCTTTCATAAACTTATCTAAATAACCGAACTCTACTCACTATAAAGTTTAATTACCTGTTTTTGACTAGCCAGTAGTCTACTCCATTTTCGCTTCCGTATCCTACTACTAATACTGCATGTGTAAGATCGTAGAGTTTGTTTTTACAATCAGGTTGGTCATAAATACCACTTCTGAAATACGAAGAAATGCATAAGATTTTTTTAAATGTAAGTCTTACTTCCATGAAGAATAAAAGAATAAAGGGACATACCGGTATGTATGAAATTCTTCATGATGCGCATTGATGCCAACTGAAATAGGTCCGACAGTTGCAACAGCTTGTCTTAAAGCTTCTTCATCTCCGGTAGGAATATCTACATGTCCGGTACATGTAGCTCCAATGTATTCTTTTTTAAAAATGCAGGAACCAACCTGAAATGAGAGAAGATATGTAATACAGAGTTGGGAAAATTGAAATAATATAAATTTTTTAACCTATATGCTTCTAAATAACAGTTTTGATGTATGATCCTGAAATCTATTTTTCAGTTTAATGGAATTTTATTTACGCCTTAAATGAACTTGGAAATGTTGTTCATCTGTTTACCACATTTTGTAAACAAAATAATATTAGGCATATTTGCTAATACCTGCAAGTTTTAAAAATATAAAAACTGTTTCCAATGCAAACTAATACGTTTTTAAGATTATCGTTATATAGTGTAAACAAGTAAAATTACTTTCTAATAATTACCGCCTATTGTGGTCGCCATTTTTTTCAAGTACATTATCCTTTTCATTACCTCGGTCCACATATGCGGATCCTCGATTCTTAACTTCTAAGAACATGCTATAAGAAAAAAATTATTTTACCCTCGCTGAAACATTCGTGGACGTTTAAACTTCATAGTAGGTAATTATAACTGTTCTTCATAGCAATTATAACTGAAATCTCATAGTAATTATAACTTTCAGGGAATTCCAAGAGACTCAGAAAATTTAAGTTATTTGGGTAGAATTCTCACATAAATGGAAGCGATTTTCGAAAACATGGCACGAAATCCACGTGCTCTAAAACAATAGTAGTTTTTTATATTGCATGATTTAGTTAATCTGAAACGAATTTTTTTCCCATTTAGTAGTTCTGTGATTTACATGAAGCTTTAAAATTTATATTTACTTAATATATAAAAACAATAAAGTCAAGAACATGTAGGTTCACGTATGTGCACCTCGGTATGGTATGGCGAAATTTATGACAGCGTAGTAGTCAAAAGAAATCTCATAGTATTATGAAATCTATATAAGATATATCTATTTAGATTATACACCCCAGACTACCCTTACTACCTGCTCCTATTCCTGAAACCCCAGTTGTAATTTTTTTAAAAATAACAAAAAGCATTCTTTCCCCTTGATCTTCAATGATGAATGAGAAGCAATCATGGGGGTTTTTAAGGGAAGCACACAGGAGGCGGAGCTCCCTAATACATAAAAAAATTTAATAGAGAAAAAAAAATTATTCCTTGAAGAATTTAAAATGGTTTTTCCCTTTAAATTGAATTTCCAATTATCTACCGATGCAAGAAATTTTAACTATCTACGATATTAAGTATTTAATATCGTACTTACCTTATTTTTGTATTCGTATGACTCTTCTGTGTCAATACCCTGATTTCCTTTTACGTATTCAAATGCTGGATCCATAAATCCTCCACCACAACCATCGTTTTCTACAAAGAAAAATATTATACTGTATTCGATTTCACTCTTGAAAACATCTAGTTTTAATTAAGAATTTAAGCTTTGCTTCTTTTTTAGTTTATTTTTGAGCATCTTTATGATCGAATAAAATATAAGACCGGCTAATCGAGGGTTAATCACCAATCACAGCTTATATACTCGAAATTATGCGCTTTTCACATTCCTTACATGCTTGTAGAGTTTCTACTTAATACACTCTTCAGTTTATAAAATTGTAGTACTAGAATACGAGACTCTCTCAAGCTCTGCTCCGTTAGATTTAAAGATGACTGTTCAACTCTGCTGGTAATTGTAGAACTATTCAATTCTGACACTAGATAGCACCAATAGATTCATAAGCCTCGTGCCATCAGATGTAGTGGATGAGTATTCAACTCTGACTATCTAGTGGGTGATTATTTAGTGGATGATAATTGTAGTACTATTCAACTCTGACACTAGATAGCATCAATATATCCGTAAGCCTCGTGCCATCAGATTCAGTGGATGACTATTTAATTCTAACTATCTAGTGGATGACTATTTAGTTGATGATGATTGTAGAATTATTCAATTCTGACACTAAATAGCACCACTAGATCCAGAACTAGTCTAACGGTAGATGTTTATTACAATAATTGTTATAAAAACTAGTTTTTATAACAATAATTTTACTTACCTTTTACACAATCTATTAGATTTTGTTCGCTCAGAGATGCAAGTTTTCCAGTTTTTCTCATATTTTGACCTTCTAAGGCACCTGTTGAAGAAAATGCCCAACATGCTCCACAATCTTCCTATAAAATACATTACAATGACAATCAATAACAGGGTGTTCTGTAGAGACCACCCTTAATGCGTGCTTTTAAATTCCTTAAAAAAAGCAAAAAAAGAAAAAAAAACGTTTTCAAACGTTCCTTAACAAAAACGTTATGAAATCTTATGCATCACAGAATAGGAGGGAAAGCATTTAACTTAACTTTTAAAAAAACGTAGCTTTTTATTTTATCTTATGAACTTTTTATTTTATTGAACAGTCGATCCAATTCTGACTTTACGACTATCAATGTTCAACTCCGTAGCCTTGTAATTTTGAACACAAGGGAGCTCCTGGATCAAGTATTGGGACGTTCTAGCATTCGTTGAATACTTTTGGATGGAATTAACCCGCATTTGTGTTACATAGAGGAACAAACCTACAAAATTCTCCCACGGTTAGCCCGACGGCAGGGGGATTCTAACCAATGATCCGTCTACCACTGAGAATATTTTACACAAGCATTGTGGTTACTGCGAGACTGGAGCAGAATTCTCTTGACCAGCCACCTTTGGGATTCGAATCTGAGTCACTTCATTTGAAGGTGAACGCTCTATCACCTGAGCCACCATGGTTCTTTAACGTAACTTAAAAATGTAGATTATTCTATCATTGCTTTTAAAGTAAAGTTTCAAACTGATTCGTTAGCTCGACGTACTTTAGTTACACAATAGGCTCATTCATTGAATATGAAATTCAGAACTTCATGAAATAAGACTCAGGAAAAGGCGATAGTTGAAATTTTGAATAAAACAGTTTGTTTAAGTAATCAATTTAATCTCTCTGGAGCATAAAATCTGTTTTAGACGTAGCATTATAACTTCAAATTTTCTTAAATCCAAGGAACTACGCAGAGATTTTATGGATATTAATTCTCTCTCAAATTGGCTGAAAATTTAAAGTACTGTAGTTCGAAACATTCTGATCAAAAGTTCTCATTGGCGCTCATATCAAAAATTGATAGTTTTTGAGATACGAAGCCTCAAACCACAAATAGTAATTCTCAATTCTTCATTGCCGTCACGATATTAGCATTAACTAAGGACATTGAAAAAAGAAACTTTTAAATAAGCAGTGATAATTTTATTAAGTAATGAAAAAGCCAGTAGCGCGTCAGAATGTCCAACGCTAAGTGAGTTCTTAGCATTCACCTAAGCCAATGCCAGAGATGCCAACTTCCTCCGGACAGATGATAAGCATTTTCGAGAGGTAGTTTATTAATTGGGATTCCTGGTCTAATTAAATTCAATTTATTAGGTTTTTATCCACCACTATATCTGAGTAATTCGAAGGCTTATATAATTCGCCACTATATTGTAGTTACGTCATGCTAAACCTTTTAAAAAGTAAGCAAAATTAGTAAAATATTTGCAAATTTTAGTGAGTAGTTACTTACCGTTTTTTAAATTATTTCGGCGTGTCTGGAGCAGTTGGCATCTCTGCAATGCAGCATGCTTCAAGCACCTTTCACAACATCGACCGTTGCCGTATGTTTGAAACTCCGTATCTCGAAAAGTATCTCTTTTTGGACTTTGTGTCAATGAAAACTTATGCTCTCAGAATGTTTTATATTATTTTTTTCATTTCCAATGAGCTGCACAATCGGTCTTGCCGATAAGCAGACCTAGTGCGTTCTCCAGAGGTGGTATCCACTCTTTAAGGACCACCACAATGGGTGAGATACCGTTGGTCATGTTAATTTGGACGTCTAGTTTCTGCCACACTAGATGGCAGCACCGAGACTCTATTTGGATGCTAAAGTGCACTAGAAATTTAATTTTGCCTAAAATGCCAAGAGCCAATAAGGCACTCCAGGAATCTTTTACATGCCGCATAATCATACGACTTGGCCGCTGAGGATTTTCTGCATCCCGAAAATCCGGATGACTTGTTTCCGGATCCAGAAAATCCGGATTACATTATAAGATATTAAATTTTCAGCCGATTTGACACAGAATTAATTTCCATAAGATTTATGCGGGTTCCTTTTGTTCTTATACAGCAATCGATTTGTTTTAAAAATAAACTGTAAAACTTTAATGACGTGTTTCCATTTAGTCCATAAACATTTGAGTATGGAAGAAAAAAAAAATACCAACCTGGTCTTTGACTTTTGTTACAAGACCCTCTTTCCTCCAGTCAACTTCTGCAGGAACATCAGCATCCTTCAGAGGAATCCATTCTGATACGTTTTTATGATGCCCTTCATCGCTCACTTTGAAACCATTCAGAGATTGCATATATTCTTCGTGACTCTGTTCAAAACAATGATTTTTCCCAATTATTGAACTGTTCGATTTTAAAAATCTAACACTTAATTTAAAAACAACTAAGGTTAACGCTTCCCAAGTCAAAATTCCTGATGACCCAATCAAAACATCTTGATAGTTTATGTTGGTTTCTGTACAATTCATGATGGTCCAATCAAAACATTTTGATGGTTTATGTAGGTTTCAGTGTGATTCATGATGGTCCAACATTATTTGATGGTTGTCATCATCCAACTTTTACATTATGCTTTCATGGTTTTTGATATGCATGCAAATTATCATCATTCCATGATGGAAAATGATACTTTAATACTATGATGGTTAACCCTCAAGCGAAGTTTGATTCTCATGAACCAACAATCTATAATGATCCGTGATGGTCCATGATGGATTTTGATTTTTAAATTTTAAATTAGCAATGGAGGTAAATGAAAATTTGTTACGAAAAGTTTCTCCCATGGTATGGCGACCTCTATACTTTTTGGTATGGGATTCATAATCACATCTCAATATGAACGTGGTCCTGTTGGTTGCTATCTGTAGCTGATTGATTATTAATGGATTATAAGTGGAAAGGTATGTGAGTAACGTCAGCTTTGACATCTCCATATCAACATCAATTTTCATAATAACTTTTTTCACTGAATCAAAGCTTAATGCGAAATATGCAAATTGAGAACCCGATTAGCGCGATGAACATGAACCTGTTACTGCAATTGAAATGTCGAATAATATTATTTCTGAATTTCAAAATCTATTCGATTTTTTTTAACCGAAATTATTTTTAAAATTGAAAAATTAACTATTGAATTAGTTAAGATTTATGTTGCCAAATGGAAATCATGAACCGTATCGTTCAAAAAGTCACCAGCCGAGCGATTGTTTACAATTTGAAAGTTGAAACAATTCAGAGCCCGTTCCGTTAGGTCCCGTGTCTAAGAATCCTCCCATTGTTTCACTTTTGGCACTTTTCTTTGCGCTCACATTTTCATGTGTGAATTTCAGTTTATAAATTACGTAAAAATGTCAAAACAACGATGTTAATGAAACTAAAATCAATTAGTTTCAAATAAATGTTTAAAAAAATTTACCAAATCTGAATATTTGTTGACTCCTCTTGTAAACGAGTGTATTCCCAAGTCTGCTCTAAGGTTATGTTTTACAATATCAGCAATCCTCTCTTCCCATATCAATCGTCTTTGTACTTCTTCTAGCCCAACATACGTCTTTCCAAACAGTTCCTAGAATAAACATTAAAAAAAAAAATACTATTTTTTGTTTGGTTAAATACAGGAGGCCGAGAAATATTCTAGATACATTCTGAATAATCATCTTAAATTTTTATCTACCACCAAAATTTGCATTTTTTTGTTAAGTATTGATTCAAGCGCAGAAAAGTTAACTGATTGATCCCACCCACCCATTCCAGAAGAAGACGCCTTCAGAGACGGACGTGCCTTGCGAGTTCTCCGAGTCGGGGGTTCGGTCGTTACCCAGCGGGATAATCAACGATGAGTTCCTGCAGCCTGTCGTCACCACCTCATGGCCTCGGCGGTGTTTCCTTCCTCCCTTCGTGAGCGTTTGATGCAAGCCTGATGACTGCAGTACTTCTGCGACGTCGATCACTAATCAATGTTTGAAAGACAGAACATCAAGATGAAATAGTTTTCAAATCCAGCCAACGTGAACACACCGTGCGGCAGTGGTAAATTGTTTAGCTTCGACGTACGGGAACATGATGATTGCTTTGACCTTTCGTTACTAGCATCTAGGACCTGTCCCATCAGACTGTTAATGGCGGCCATTTGCGTTTGAAACCGACTGGTTGAAGCATGTTTCACAAGTAGGAGTCTGGCTTTACTAACCTCTACTGTCCTTCGGGTCCTCGCCCAGTTTAGTTACTAGCGGAGACTGGAGATGCTAATTATCTAATCGAGATAAGTAATCTTAAAAACAGCGAGACGTTTTCTTCAAGCAAAGCACAGTGGACTTCATTTTTGTTGATTACTCTCAACTCGTTTTCAAGTAATCTCACAGCTTTTCCTCACCATGGCAATGAGCCAACCCCCATCTCATATTTAGTTTTTATGCTCCTGACCTCAGTGTTCCACCTCATCGATCCTCATCTCATGATGAAGGGGTAAAGGGCCATCTCGTCCTCAGGCACCCCGACCATCCAACAAGACAAGATAAGAAAAGTTTATTGTGTTCTCCATTTTGCTGCTCCATCGCTGGTACCAAAAGTAAAAAACTAACATTATCTAGGTTTTTTAAGGCACAGGAATGGATCCATCATCCAACAGACATGAATCCATCCACATTTTCCCGTTATGTCTACTTGGAGATAAAGATTTGTGTAGAACCTCCTAAATTTATGTATTTCTGAGAAAGCTTCTTGTGCAAGAAATGAGGCAAAATATCAGCAGGCTCCATCGCACAGTAAACCATAGCTGAAAATTTGGCGGCTCTTTTGTAGCTTACTATGAACTAGGGACAAATCTTAGGAAATAAAGTTTTGAAAATTTCTTATACATTTGTTTTCTATCTGGGAACTGAAGACAAAAAGAAGTCTTTCTTCGGGTGGAATGATTTGAATCCAATACTTAACATATCAACTCTGTTTTCGAAACTTTTGTCTGTCAGAAAACATTGAGGTAAATTTCTCTTTGAAAAAGATATTTCGAGATTTTTTAAAACAGCATGAGTCATTATGTACCAACAAATATGTTTTATTTTTTTAAAATTATTTCTGCTACAAAACTGTAAAAAATTCCTGACGAAATTCCGGTATAAAGTGTCAGCACTTTGGATGCATCATCCGCAAAATCCATTTTACCGTCAAATCCACTTTTACCATATTATATTTTACTATAATTTTAAAAGTGATATATTTTTAATTAAAAATATTCAGTTACATTACTGTAATTATTTCTGTAACAATTACGGCACATCCGATTTTTTGTTCCGTAGCATGTTCCGGTAAAAGGGGATTTTACAGTAATTTCATCCGAATTTTTTGCAGTGTTGATAAGTGAAAATATTTTGATAAGAAATTAACGAGTGCTTCGATTAGATACAATTTATAATAATAAGAATAAATAAATATTTTTTCAACTGTACTTAAATATATTTTTGCTCAATTTACCCCCTATAATAAAACGTTTTCAAAAAATTTCAAAAATACCCTGATTATAAGGGTAACTTTACCCATAGTGTTTTTGAATTTTTACTGTAAGAGTAAGTAATAAAAATATATTTAAACATACAATAGATAATTTTTTTTAGTAAAAAACGTAGCCAAGTTTTTTAGTAAAAAGTAAACCCAAGAGCTATTTATTTACTCTCTCTTTCTCTCTCTCACTGATGGAGAATTACACTGAATTTTTACTCGACACTTAATTTAGGGTTTACGACTGCTAATGTTCAACTCCGTAGCCTTGAAATTTCGAACCCAATCCAGAAGACAAGGGAACTCCCAACGAAAATTAGATAGATCCATTTACAACATGTGCGCAATACTCTGAATACTCGTAAGTAAGGAAACGATGCAGTCAACTTCCGCCACTAAAAAGCGTACATCTGTACTGGATGTACTGGATTCAATACGATTTAGTATTTATTTTAAATACTAATTTAAATAAAAACATTTACATAAGCATTCATTGACAGAGAAGTACATTGCATTTTTATTAGACGTTTAACGACACTATTTTAAATACTAATATTTACTTCAAATACTAACTTAATTTTTTAGAGTACTCTGTCCGGGTACTCCAGGTTATACACAATTTGTAGTGCACACCTCTTACGTATCTTTCTTTATAATCCTTAATTGCGGAACTGTTATTGAGACTTCCAGACACTATAGCACATGGCTTTTTTTTACATTTGGATAATACTTTTATTAATCTTACAATGAAACAATTAAAATAGAAAGGTATTATTTTAAACAACAGTGCTAGCACTCCTTTGCCCCGCAGTGGACTGATCGTTAAGACACGGTTCCCAGCAGATCACCGAAGTCAAGCATCACTGGCTGCGGTCAGTGTGCGGGTGGGTGACCACTTGGATCAGTCTGCGTAGGGACCGAGGGTGTGCGGTATTGGTCCTCCTTAAACTTTTGTACCGTAAAGTGCTCGACTTCGCGTGCAGGTCGTTGGACTACCGAAGCGGGGGTGCCATCCCCTCTGCAGAGGATCAAAATTGTGATGGCTTGTCTTCGGATCATCCTCAGTGATGCTTCCCAGACCGTCGCCAATAGCCCATAGTGCAGCTCTAGTGCGACGTAAATTAACTACAACTACAACAACAAGCTAGTACCCTTTTAGTAATTACACACGTAATTCTTTTATCTAAAATGTTTAACTTGTTTTTTGTTAAGTTTTTCTTAAACAAAACAATCAAATTTGATTTGTTATATGTAAATTTCTATCATTGTGTTCCAAATCATCGGTTCAATAGCCCAAATAAGTTCATTTGTGACAGTTCAAGAAGCGGTACAAAGTTATTTGCAAATTACAAACTCATATTGGCTTTTTACTACAATTATTTTAATAATTATAACACCTACAGGGAATTTGTAAGGTGTGAAAAAATAATTATTACCTTGTATAGATTCCAGTGTTCATTCAGTTCAGCTTTGAATGGAAATGATAAGCACATAGCTGTAGCTATGCATGAGGTAAGTAGAATAAAAAATTTCATTTTAACCTAAATCGAATGAAAATAGAACAGAAAATCAACTGACAATAATATACATTTTTGATTGATTATTAGTTTCAAAAACTGGCTTCATATAAAGAGATTTAAAAGTATGAATCCAGGGAAAAAATAAGAAGTCAAAGGTTATTATGCTTAGATGAAACTCTGATTGCTGTGGTAGGTAAGCTTATTATTCCAAGTCTAAATCTTTCGTTAATATTTTGAATAATAATAAGTATGATATTAATTTTTAAAAAAATTTTGTGCTTTACGTATTTCAAGCAGACAAAAAAGGAGAAAACATTTTTTTTCGTCAGACCAAAAGTCAAAAACATACGCATCACTTAAAAAGATGTGTGTTTGCGTGCATGGGGGGGGGGGATTTCGCATAAATAGAAGTTCATGATGTTAGTGATGCTATAAGTTTTTCGGTCAGACAAAAATATAAATATTTTTTCTCATTTTTGTCTACTTGAAGAGCAGCATTTAAAATATTTTTTTAAATTTATTATTTTCTACATTTTAGTCATGTTGTTTACGTCGGAAAGTGGTTGAAATTTCATTTAGCTGTTAATTTTGCTTGAACTATTTAAGATCTTGATTTTTATAAACGATAATTTTTTAAGCGATAATCTGGTGGTATATTCTGCTTGCCGCGATCTTATGTAGTTTTTCTTATTAGAATTTGCTTTGTCACCTAACACAGAGCTTCTGCCAACATTTTAGAGCCTTCGTTAATCTTATATCGGTCGAAAATTTTATTGACGATAAATGTTTTTTAGCGATAATGTCGCAACAAATTTTTCCTGTTGTGGGCAGGAAAAAATGTAAACTTGTATTGTTGTATAGCACAGAACTCCAGTTAAAACTTGACTGCTCTAACTATTTTTAAACAAGCTTGAAATTTGACAGACGATAAACTGCATTTGACGATAGTATCTCAATAAATCCTGTTTATATCGGTCAAGAAACGATTAAAACTTGCATTGTTCCAAACGTAAGAATTGCACAAACGTGTTCTCAATCGCGGAGTTCCAAGTAGAGATATGAGGGATCTTGCTAGTTAGAAAGTAGTTGAAATTTGGATTGCAGGATTTCATCATTACAAACTCTAAAACAGTTAATACGAATGTAATAATAAATAAAACATAAAATATAAACAAACGTAGTAATCAACTGATAATTTTCTAAGAATTAAAATTTTATACTATGTCAAGAATACTGCTGAAGTATGAGTATTCATAAAGTTGCATAAAGTTGTGTAAAATTGCATGAATATTCTTGCGCAGAATATCTACAAATAAATTCTCGGTTACCAAAGTAGCGAGACTGACGCTAAACGTGTTGAGCACCTTTTGCGCCATGAACCATTATTTAACGTACAGTATCATTATTATATACAGTTTCTTTACAAGTTTAGAAAATTCAAATCTATTTATGAAAATAAATAATTCTTAAAACAGCAGAGGTGCAAAATTGGAAATAAAAACAGTTACAAAATTAACGTACCTGTAGTCCTTTTTTTTTCGAATAGGAGAAATAAATTAGAGACAATGGGATGCAAGTAGAGTGAAATAATTCTCTTTACGTTAATTCATATTTATAAGCATTAAAATATTGCAAAGACAAGAATAAATGAAATAAGTATTCCTTATCGGTGACGTCTAATCTCTCACTTGACAAAAATTCTCGTGAATAATTTAGTCACGAGATTACAGTTATTCGGAACTTTCTCTCTCATTTGATTTACATTTTTGGAAAGTAATATCAGCACACAATACTGAATAAGTTGTACAACCTCACGTGTATTGAATAATTCCATTGATAAAATAATACTCGAGTGCTAAAAAACAATAATACGAGATACGGGTGTTAGATAATAGATCGCCTTCAGACGTTTTGTAACTTTGTAGGCAACGTTAAGTTTGATAACAAAATTACACTTCTGAGAATGATTTTAAACAACATCATGAAATAAACTATCTTATCATCAGGTGGAAATTAATGTAATTTCAAATTGACTTTTATTTATTTGGAAAGATTAAAAGTAGCAAATGTTTATTGGAACCATTTGGTAATTTGATTAAATAATATTGGCTAAAGAGAATAAAGAATTAAAGTAGTAAGTTCCATTAAATTTGATTTAACTTATTCGGTATAGTTAAAAATAACAAGTATTTGATTGGAACCCATTAGAAATTTGCTTAAACAGTATTGGTTAAAGAGAATAATGTAGTACTAATATTGAATATAGTAGTATATATATATAGTATAATGTAGAATAATATGTAATAATGATATGTAGAAGTACGATCATGTGTATTAAAGTAGTTGTACATCAAATAATAGACTTTAAACGTAACAATTATCAGTTTAATTACTTTTTGATAAACCTGTAAATTTTCAAATGTTATTGGAATTAATACTGGATAAACTTGTAATCTTTCAACTATTATTGAAATTAATGGCAGATAAACCTGTGAATTGTTATTTGTTTTTGAAATTAATGCCTTTAAATTTTCCATTATTATTGGAATAAATACGAAATGCTTATAGATAACTATATTTTTGTATGCCATTGATAACTTTAGGTAATATACAGGTATATGTAATATTTAGGTATATGTATATTTAGATTATATCTAGGTTATATTTTAGTAGCAAATTTGACGTCTTATCTTAGGTCTTATGAGAATGGTTTTAAATACTAATATGCACAGAGAAATAAATTCTGGTAAAATTACCGTACTGCATGGTTTCATGATATAATTGCTAAATTTTACTACATTTATAAAACAATATTTTATTGTTAACTTTACTAAAATCATTACTAAAGCTTTTCAGTTAAAATTGCTGAGATTTTCGGTTTTCCCATGGTGTCAGAAACATATAGTAAATTTTACCATATTCTGGTAGTTTTGACCATACTTTTGAAGTTTATCATTGTATGTTATATATTATCGTTTTTAATTTATTTTTCCTAACTTAATTAAGAAAATTCAGGCATTTTTTTCGAAACATTTCTTCCAGTAGAGTAAGGGTTTTAAAAATTTTTTTGTATATATTCAATTTATGAAAAAATTAAAAATAATTATCAACCAATGTTCTTTTTAAAACAATTCAAAAATTTAATATTTTTAAGAAAGTAAGGTTCTTAATTTTAGTATAAATTTCAAATTTTTTAATTAAATTAAAAAAAATTTAGTATTGCTTTATATCTGAACAAAATTTTGCCCTTATAAAGTTTTTATCCAAATATTTTTAAAAAGTAAAAAAAAAAAATGGGTATTATTAATTTGAATCAAAATATTTCAATTTAATAAGAATATATTCAAATTTGCCAATGAAAACTTTTTTATTAACTCTAACAGCAATTTAAAGTGGCTAGTTGTAAATCATTTATTGTGAAGTCATTTATTGTAAAAAAATATATTGTACATTCTAAAATCATTTATCGAGAAAAATGTATTTACCTTGTAAATTAAAGATTAGTTTTCAAGGTATTTGGCAGCTATTAATATCTTATCATCCTTACAATTTAAGTTCAAATTGAAATAAAAAGTTAGTTAATATTTGAAGTTGAATGAAATATACTATTTCGTTTTAAAAGTATAAGAAAACCGACATTTTTGATAATTACGAGAATAAAAACCAGAAGCACCTTGAAAACGAGAATTTTTTAATTGAAAACAGTTGACAATAAAATTTGATAAAAAAAAGTCTTGGTTGAAAGGAATGATGATAAGATAAGGTAACGTAGGGTAAAATAGTCATACATCATATCAAAACTTGTAAATTTTAAATAATCATTCCGCTTAATTTTGATGTAACAGCTGGTAGTTACAACATTATAAAATTATTAATGATACCATCATTTTAGTGTTAAAGGAAAAGAATGTTTTTTGTTTGTTTGTTCCCTATTTTCTCATTCTTACATTTATTGAACTTTTTATTGAACTTTTTTTATTGAACTTTACTTCAATATTCCATCACACGGATGAAAGAAATAATTTAATACGTTTGTCAAGATTATTTTCATTCAACATTTAGTCTTTATTGATTATAAATAATATTTTATGATAAGTTTCGTTAAATTAGAGTGGAATAGTGTAGCGTAAAACTTAAGGATACATGGTTGCTTTTTAATTATTTGCGCTTCGTTAAACAAGCAAGACGAAACATTAGAATATGCTAGAAAATTTTATTTTAAACTAAAAAAGTTCGATTTTTGTTTAAATTAAGGAGAATTGAAAAAAATCTTGAAACTGCAATTAGTCCTATACACTGAGAAAAAAATTATGGTCAAAACTACCAGAATATGGTAAAACTTACCGTGTTTCCGGCTCTATGGGAACATTAAGCGGCAAGGTAATTTTTACCGAAGCTCTTTGCTAATGATTTTGGTAAAATTAACAATAAAATATAGTTTTAGAATATATGAGGAAATTTTGCAAATTAGATGAAATTTAGTAATTTTTAATGATACTTTAGAGCATGGCATAAAAACCATTTATTCGGTTACATTTATTTTTCGATTTTGTATTTTATACTAAATGTGTGGTATTAAAAACAGGTATTTCCGGTAAAAAGATGCCTTAACAGATGGAAAAATTACCAAATGAATTATCTAAATACCATATAGTTTAGTTTTTATAACCAGAATTATGTTTTTCTTGCCAGAAATGTCATTACCATACAGTACGGTAACTTTACCAGATTAATTTTCTCTGCATGTGTGGAAAGGTGGAGAATTTCCTGTTTTAATTTCTGCAATAAAAATGCTTTTATAATAATTACAAAGGTTTATAATTTTTACTTCTTCAATTATATTAATAAAAAATTCTTAAAAACTTTTTCTGAAAAATAGAAATGTTGCAAACTAATTTAGCAATTAAATTAAATTCTCTAAATGTAAAATGATGGGTTTTCAAAGACACTGTAAAAAAAAATAGAAATAAATAAATTGTGTAAACAAAAAAAATGTTCTAAGTTAAGAAAGTCTATTTTTATGACAATTTAACCCGTCTAACCTTTTTTACGAGTACTATATTTTCTTAAGTAAGGGCCGTTTTGTTGTTTGTATACTAATTGGTGACTCGTTAGTCGCAACTAGTACTTGCGTCGTGTCCTGTTATTTCTAGGAGACAACTGTGCTCAGTCACAGTTGTTTAGGCAACCTGTACTGTCATTTCTGTGTCTTTAAAATACTCAAGTTTAACAAATCACCTGCCGCGTATGAGGTACGGTCAGTAATGTGTTTTTAGTCGGCAAAAAACCTGTCTGCTGCATGCTTTCACCGGCAGATTTAAGAAGTTTACGAACCTTCTTACTGGCATGCTGACAGGAAATTTTGCTTCTTCATGCCAATGACTCTCTCCACAGCTCAGTTCCGAGATTTATTGGACTCTAATGGCTGGGAAGTTTTGGACCACCCCTCAATACAGTCCAGACCTTGCGCTAAGGGATTTTCCCTTTTCCGTTGTTTTGGTGGCAACCAGTGCAACAATGACGTAAAAACGGTCATGACGTCTTTGTTAGCGGAACAGTCGGCAAGTTACTATGAAGAGGATATTCTAAATCTTATTGTAAAGTATAATTAGTGTTTAAGCAAACTTGGCAACTATTTTGAAAGAAAAAAGAGAAACGTATGTTGAATTAAAAAATAAATTTGCTTCATGAAAATTTTCTTTCGTTTGGTTTTTATTTTCAAATGACCCTTACTTAAAAAACAGCCCTCGCATAAATATAATATTTCATTACTGTTACATTCAATATAAACAGGCAATTGTTTCTGAAGCTCTAGTTGAAATCGATGTAATTATGTGATTAATCAGTAAAATAATTTAAAGTGTAAACTTAAAAAAGTCGTCGAAAAAATAAATTCAATATGCCTGAACAAATTTTCAGGATTTTCTTTCCTGAAAAGAGAAAAATGATTTGTGTGAGATTAGTATTTTGTGTTACTTTTATTATGACATTTTTACAGATGTCATGCAGACAGTTATAAAAATATTTAAGATTTTTACGCTTTCTAATGATTTAGATAAATTCTGGACTAGTTGTCTTGTAACTTAATGTATTTTAAGATCATCATAAATATTCATGAAAACAATGAAATTTCTTAAAAAAAGCTGCTTACTGAAGATTAAGTTGAAGATTTTGATTTATTACTAACGAAATATGCATATCTTTCTTCTTTTAGAAGTTAATCAATTTGATATCAGATTTATATAAAAAATTGCGATTAATTCATTATTAAATCTCATTTGTTAAAATATCTATTCTACACAATTTTTCTAAAAAAAGGCTTAATTAAAATTTTAATTTTATGTTTGGTAAGGCCTGTTTATTATTTGGTTTGGCCTGTATATTATTTAAAATTAACTAAAAGAAAACAAACCCCTTAAAAACATATTTTTGAACGTTTCTGTAACTCCTGCTCCACACTTTCCCCTACGTTTGAAATGCAAGCATGTGCATAATAACTGTTGAAACACTAGTTTGTTGCTAGTTGCTATATCACTAGATTTTAACGTCAAATTTCACTTAAATAGATCCAATATGGGAATTATCAGTGAAATATAAAAATTCTCTTAACTTTGATCAGCAGAGTACAGCAGAACAATATTTAAAAATACTATTTCTTTATAAGATTTTAGAATCCATAATTTCAAAACAAATTTTTGTTTTACCAAATATGTATCCCAAAATTCCAATTCTTTATCTGATGCTCTTATTTTCAAATTAAAAAAGAAAAAAAATAAGTATTTATTAAAAACACATACTTCAATTGAAACAGAAAAGTCAAGTAAATAATTGTTTTTATTTAAAACATGCATTTACAAATGCTTATTGGCTGAGTCCAAACATTTTTAAAAATTGACTCATTGAATCTTGTATTCTTTTACAGAAATTACTCATTGGATTAGTGCTGTTTCCGGCCATATTCATCATTGGAAACTGGAACAAAATACAAACATAAATTATATTATTTGAATAAATAAATAAATAAAAGTAAAAATAAATGGTTTTTTATCATTTTGGACGATTTTTATTATGTTGTTTATACATAAGATTAATAGTCTTTTTTTTATTTAATCATTCTTTAGAACCCCCAAAGAATTGTTCCTCGTCGGCAATACTAATATGGCTGGTGTTAAAAACTTACTATGAGGTATTATCAACAAATTGAGTGCTAAAAATATAAAAATGAATGAATATCCCTTTTTCCATTCAGTTCAACTTTGAAGAAGTTGTGTCAAAATTCAAATTTTTACAGCCAACCATTAGATACTTTAACATTTTCTTTTCAAAAAAGTTTCTGCAATTTTTGCAAAATTAGCTCCAAAAATTAGCAACTAGCTCAAACATTCGAGTGAAATTTCATACACATTATTTGAAAAAAAAAAATTAATAACTTTTATAATATTTAAGTGATTTCAACATTCTAAAATCCAGCTAATTCGCGACACTAAAATTAAGATTTGAAATCGAAGGCAAGTTTAAAACTATAACTTTGCCTCATATGTGAGGTTCTTTAACTGTCTCTTTAGTTATTTTCCTTGGCGGAAAAGATTTGAAAAACACTAAAAATACAAATCCTGTAAAAGACACTCGGTTCACTGGATAAATGAGTTCACTGGATAAATGAGATAATATGATTCGGATAAATGAGTTCACTGGATATATTTAAGTATTTTTTTAAACTTGAAACAAAAATTTTAATTTTTAATTTTAATTAGCAGCTAGTGCCTCTTAATGATTGTTGTAATTTTTTTGCATTGTTTAAAATTATATTCTCTATGAACTTGTAAAGCAATTAAATTAACTAGGTAGAAAAATGTATTTAAAGAACTTTGACGCCGAATTTTTATTAAACATATTTTTCTTACATTTTTTCTTATTTTGTATGCATTAACACTAGAAAGACGGAAAATTAGTATATACCTATATTGCCCAAAAGCAGTCAAAATGACTGGATTGTGAATGCGTAAATAAATTTGTTTAAAATTAATTTTTTATATTTTTTATATTATTTACTGTTATATAACGAGTTATTAGTAAATATTAACAATAAAAAAATTATATGTTGTGCAAAAAGTCATAAAATTCTAAGAAATTGTGTCATTATATAAATCATTGTTTTTCTAATTGAAATTAAAAGCAGTCAAAATAACTTCCTTAGGCAATTTAGTGTTAAGGCAAAAATAAATATTACATCGAACATTTTAATAATTTATGGTTATGAAATAAGCATGAAACACCAATGTCTCTTTTTGCTCTTTGGGCTTACTTCCAAACAATTGTTGTTTCAAATTTGCACTTACTTTCGGTAAGTGTTCGGTTCGGTTAGTTAGATCTAAGATAAACAATTTCATCGTTGAAATTTCATTAATTTATAATATCAAATATTGATAAATTGTTTAATATGAATGAAGAAAAAATTTCGAACTACTCTTTTTGAATTTGGTATTTTAGTACAAATATAATTCTGATTATCTAACATTTTAGTAACTCTTAGACTGTCATTTATAATTAAAAAAATACAAAAATATATTTTACTTGTTAGTAGAGAGTCAGGAAAAAAATATTATATTTAGGTACTGCGTTGTCCCATTTGCATCGAAAGGTTAAAAAATTGCAAAATTAACAATTCTTTAAGAATATCATTTTAAGTTTTCTGCTACTTATCTACAATACATTAAAAGCTAAAAACTAGAATACGAACTAAAAGGAAAGTTCAGAAACTTTAACGCAATGTTAAAAAAAGAAATAATTATCAGTCAGTTCGTATCTGAAATCTGAAATGAAATCTGAATGAAAAAGAAAAAAAAAATATTTTGAGATAAACTTGTTTTAAGTTCCGCTGCTCAGTATTTCCTCTTAGTAACTTTTAATATCAAAACATTGTTGAATAGTGGTGTTTTAAATAATAGAAGGCGAAAATTTATGTTTTAAGTAATACATAAATTACTAAAAATTGATTTTTTATTTTGCTTTCATTATAACGCTTTAAAAAAAAGAAAGAAAGCAAGTATTCTAGAGAAAATAAAGAATTTATATATTTTAATTTTATCTCGTATTCATAAATAGCAGTTTCCTCTAAGGTAGTTTCAAATATTTTTAAGGAACTTTCATTTTGCTGGATGACAGGGCTCCACCTAAAATTTTTTTGATCATTTAGAGTTCCATAATCGAAATAAAAATGGGTATAGCTCGTCTAGAGCGTAGTGCGAAAATAGCATCGAATAAAAATGTCGCCAACGTGGTATAAAAAACTAAAATTCAAAATATTAAATTTATGAAATGAAAGTTAAGCAGTAAGCACCATTTTTAAGTTTCGTGTTTGGTAACTTTCAATATTGCTTCCTCCACTGTTACTCCTTGTTTCTTCTGGTCTGTGTAATTGATTGTGTTGAGGATGTCTGAAAAATAAAATGAGTTAGTTAAGTGTAATTTTTATAAATTTTTTTTTACGCATTTTTGCACACACATAGAATCACTTTCTAAGTTTATTACTATAGGAACACTGCTTTAGTTTTAAGTCTTCAAATGTAAACAAAAGAATTTAATGCAAGTAAATATTATTTTAATGATTAACTGATTTTTTTTATATTGAAGACAGCAAAAGATTTTTGGATCTTCTTTGTTATTTAAGGATTTCATCATACGAGTTTTGTATGCAATAAAAATGCACCGACAATAATTCGAACGTGTTTTAAACAGTTATCTTTTTATACTGTGCAATAAAAAGCTTAGAATAAAAACAAGAATTCACTTTTCCTCAAATGGATTTTTGTAAAAATATGTTCGGTTCGAATTCCATATTTTTAAAAAGTTTTCATAAGAAAGAAAATTATTTTTAAATTAGTACTTAAACTCTCTATTGAGATAGTTTAAATATTAAATTATTATTTCAATTATCTTATAAACTGTTTACTAGCAATAAAATGAAATTTTAATAATATAAAATAGCTTGTTCCTATTTAAAAATATAAATTATGTACAGATTGATTGTGCATTTTTAATGATTTTTTTTTCTCCAGAATTGAATTTCTTTGCCTAGATCTAATTCAGAGCACTACAAAATCTGAAGACAGCCTTTTGTAGCAAAATACATCGAATTATAAGACTAAAATAGGCAAGTCTTCTGATCAGAATACAAAAAATTGTGTTTCTGTAAGAAAATCTTTCTGTCTAAGCCTACTTTGAGGCAGAACTCTGATGAGATGCAGTTATGGTGTTAAAAAAGATATTAACACTCTTAAGATTAACAGGAAAAGGACTACAGCAGAGTTGTCAGAAAGAACTTCGTGAAAATGGCTTGGTCTCACAGCTAGAGCTATCACACCCGTGAAGAAGAAAGCGAATTCGACTTAAAGTTTTAAAACATTCAATAACAGTGGCACTTCTTTTGAATGAACTTATTTTGAATGTAGCAATAAAACCATCTCTTACCTTTGATTGTTTTCTATTATAGAAGATTCTTCATATGGAGGTAAAATTTCGTTTTCCAGGTCAGTTTCTGGAATATTATTTGCTGCAACATCATTTACTGCAAAAATAACAAAGAAAAATTACATACATACATTTATTTCAAAAGAAAAGGCAGTGCAGGTTCATATAAACTATGGGAAAGTCAGAGTTGCTTACAATGGTATACCCACTATTATGGTGTTCTTTTTTAAGCTTTATGAGACTATTTTTCAAAGTCTATATACCATAACCACTTTTTAGCGTATTAATACATAATTAGTGTACTATTACTGTTACGAACTCACAACTGTTATAAAAATAGCTGTTGTGAGATAGTCACAGTTATTCATACATATTTTGTTTGGTTTAGTCAAATTTAGCCATCGTCCTCTATATTGATTCTGAAAATAGCACTTAATGTCATTTTGAAAAGAAGTCACAGTTTTGTGAAACTGAAAAACGTTTGTGATCATTGTGAATTATTCTATGATTTTAATGTTTTTCATCTAACAAGGGATTTGCAATTTAGTAATTTAATTTTTTTATGTCTTCCATTTTTAACAACTAATTTGTCTTTTATTAAACTTAATTTTGAAAGTATAAACAATATTACAATATAATTCTTGTTAAAAAAGATAGAAAGAAGCGTTGAATTGAAACGAATTATTTATTGCTGAAATAGAACATTATATCATTAAAAATTTAAGCTTAGTTGGATATATGATTTTTGTAACAATAATTATATATGAAGGTATTACACACGTTTAAGTAAATGCTGAGAATCAATTACAGCTAAATGTACAAGTTATTTTTATTTTAAATCTTGAATAAAGTGACCAGATGTAAAAGGTTTCAATTCCTTTTGATCATCTGACAAATATTGATTGCTCATTTATAAGTTAACATTTCTTGAAGTAAAGTTAAAATTTCGTCATACGTGGCACTGCTCAATCACTTGCGAAGGATATCCTTGACACAACGAACCATTCTTACCCAATAACAAGCATACTTTGCAACATATGGAGGATAAATATACATTTAACTTTCATTAGAAAACATTCTGTTCGAATGAAATCTTTATCCAAAGATTTCAAAGCAACTTCTAACCCATCGCATTTTGTACTATTATCCGTGTAATTCCACTACCTTCCCAAACTCAACTATTTCTTATTCTAGAGGTGTTGGAGATTAGAGAAGCGGCAGGTTCATATTTTTGGACGAATTTGTCGTTATCTTTTGATATTATATCACTTTCCTTATCTCTTTTATAACTCTCTCGAGCTGTACTTATCATTTCTTCGAGCTCACCGCGCAAAAAACACACTAATTTTTCGAGAGATCCCTAACTTATAATGTCAATAATATATATTCTGAAATTCCGTACTCGTGTAGTATTTTCAAGTAATTAGTCTACAAGTGGCTCTAGAAAGTCAGCAAGCTACTCTTTTGTACGCTCCGAGCTCTCCAAAACGTCCTAATTTCTCAATTTAAATCGGGTGAATTCTTACCAGCAGTTGCATTCTTCTTAACAAGAGAAGGAAGATCTCGAACATAATTTCACAAGTTTAAGGTATCCTACTAGTTTCGACAACTTTTTTTTAAAAATATTTTTAAGAAACTAGTTTATTTGTTTTATTATGTGTAAAAACTTATAAAAACTTAAATAAAAATATTATTATTAATTTTTTTAAAAATGATCACTTTAAGGTAAAAACTAGGCATTTTTTTGCATTTGCGCGAAACACTGTAAAATAATTCTATCACCAAAACAAAAAAAATCCTTTGAGAATTTTATTTAAAAGGCTATCAACTATGTTTAGAACTATTATCTTAAAAGCAGGTGCATTACTTCTGAGTTAGGGATCAATGTAGCTAGCTAAACAAGTATAATTTTTAAAAAGTTCTGCACTTGTCTTTGCGAAAAAACACACATAAAAAATGAAATTCTTCTTTTTTCTTTTAATCTGTTGTTCAAAACACTTCTGCTATAATAATAAATAAATCATTTTAAAAACAACATGAGAGATCGAGTTTAAGGTGGTGTAAAAATGCGAAAAAGTCTGATTTTGAGATAAAAGCATTTAAAAACTTAAAAATCATAGTCTGTACAATGTTATCACTTTGCTTTGAAACAGGTATAGCTTTGCAAATAATTAGAGTTCAAACAAAAGTAAAGTTATTTTTAGAAAGCTGAGAGCACAAGGATTATAAATTTATAATAAACTAAATTTCGAAAATGCCAGTAGGGGGCTGGGAACTGTCCTCGCATCGGAAAGTTTCTGGGTTCGAATCCCGGGCAAGACATGGATGTTCTTTCCTTCCCTGTACTATCTGTCCTCACTGTGAGAGCGACGTTGGCCCACCTAATATTGTGCTCCTGAAAGAGAGGCTAACAAAATCGCCCTGTATATGACTAAATTGATGGATGTTAACACAGGTGGGCACTGGAGAAAAAAATTCGAAAATTCTGCCCAAAATCATGTTTATGCACTAGTCAGAATCCTTAACGAACTAGATTATTTTTAACGAGGAAATTTTTTAGTTACCTTATTTATTTTTTAAAAAGCAGGCTATTAAATTTTACATGGCTTTAGTAACCCATATTATGACATAGCGAGTGAAAATTTCCCAGAAAAGTAGGGAAATTTTTTTTTCCAACTAAAGGGAAATTTATGAATTCATGAAAAGTGCATTAATGACTAAACAAATCACTGCATCCGAATATCAAGACATTACACATTACTAATTTAGTGAATTGGTTATTCAGTGCAAAGACGAATCAACAAATGAGAGAACCAGCGAAATGGCCGTACCAGTTAATCAATATATTAGTGAAAATAGGGATCAAATATAAGGTAAAGTTGGATGACAAGGAATTTAGTCATGTAAATGACTTGGAAAACCAGTAATAGGTTTATAAATAAATGAAAGGTTTCGGAACTTGGGGTGTTAATTGATGACCTTACCATATTAATGATGAATCGCCATATGAATGAATTGGAAAACCAGTAATAGGTTCATAAATAAATGAAAGGTTTCGGAACTTGGGGTGTTAATTGATGACCTTACCATATTAATGATGAATCGCCATATTAATGAATTGGAAAACCAGTAATAGGTTTATAAATAAATGAAAGGTTTCGGAACTTGGAGAGTTAATTAATGATGAATAAAAAATATCTACATTAGGAAAGCTGAATATCTATACGTATGTGGTGCCTGTACCGTATATAAATCCGCAATTCACAACCGATCCGCACTGAATTTAATGTACACATGTTCAAAGACGGTGAATCTGTCTACTTTAAAACTCCTCCCGACCTCCAAATCATACACTACATCCCGAAGAAAAAGCCTTTCCATAGGATTTGATAAAGATTTTATAATATAAGCGAATTGCTAGACTGTAGCTCTAATGTGTCAAAAATTAGTTTTATCGCACGGCTTTGAAACTTTTATATCTTAGGTTTGTGGTGCGCAAGAGCAATAACATAACAAGCATTTATATTTAGTTTTATGAAAAATAAAAAACAACGTTGCTAAGACAACTCAATTCGCGATCGCAACGCTCGAGTACGCCCTCTATCGGGAGCCTGTAAATATCAGACATTAATTTATCACGTTTTCATTTAGTTCCATCAAAATCATCGGCCATGACGGACGCCATTTTCTTAGCAGCAAATAAAAATCAAAATTTCCCTAAGGAACAGCTGAAGAACTTGAAAAAACTAACCAGAACATGCCAAACATTGAAGCAGAACACGCCAAGCATTTGAAGAACAATTTCTCAATAATTTTTACCTTTCTATTACCAACAACATAACTTACAATTTCATGATCACTTGCTGTTACAGATGTGTATATTACGGTAAAATAATTTTTTCTGTCTTCAATTCATTACAAATTAAAATGAAGTCAACATTGCTTTCGTCATTCCAATAAAGAAATGTGAATTCAGAACGTCAAGAACTGCAATAGTTATAGAATTCTTCTTTGTTATAGAACAGTATATATTTCTGTATCTATATAATTCGGAAAACAACAATAAAGAATCAACCAAATTACTTGAAATAGTGTCATTTGTGCTGATGATTAATAAATTTTTTATCGTTTTCTTGGTAAGTATTTCTTAGTTTTGAAAGAATAGATAATTTCAACTAGAATTCAGCTGTTCTGTTTTTAAGCTACATATTCAAATTCATATCGAGATCTTACAATTATAAAATTTTGATGTGTGGTATGTTATCTAAAAGTAATAAAGGGATAATCTATGCACATATTATTTGAAAATAAAACTTTCAAACGAAGAACATTTCATTTGGAACTCTACGGATTTATAAAGAAGGTAAGTGTTATGATTTTTATAATAAAAAATTAGCTTGTAAAACTTTTTTTTCTTATTTGATGATAGTTCTCTACAGAATGGTTTCTTACGTCTGATTAAGAACTATAAGAATAATAAGAAAAGAAACTATATGAAAGTTTTTATTTCAATGTAAAGAATTCTTAAAATCGTTTTTTATCCTAAGAATTCTTTATTTTCCGTTTTATAGTTTATAATTTTTTGATAAAAATTGTTGTCAAAATACTTTTTTTGAAAACATAAATGGTATAACATTATGTGTTTATGTATACTTCTTGCATATTCTAATGTTTCAAGTAATATGATTCAGAAAAGTATGAATAAAAATTCGGTACTTATGTATTAACGCCACAGCAGCTACAGATTTGGCTGTTTTTAAGTGCCGCCAATCTACACCTAAAATTTTTGTGACAAATCATAAAACGAAACACTTTATTTAAAATTAAAGTAGTTTATCGGATTTCGGTGGACAATGGGCAAAATATTTCGTAAAAAAAAATAAAATTGCATCTTGTTCTATTTTTGGCAAATCCCAAAGACGCATTTTCGTAGCATTAAAAAATGGTAACAAAAATCAAGGAACAAATCATTTTGGAATTCTTCTGATTTATAAGCAGGTAAAGGTTAATTTTTATAAAATAAAAATTTTTGTTTTTAAGTAGTTTTTTTCTTGATGATAGTTTTCTATAGAATGGTTTTCTACGTCCGATTATGAATCAAAAAAGAAAAAACATGAAAGTTGTTTATTNTTTTTTTTTTTTTTTTTTTTTTTTTTTTTTTTTTTTTTTTTTTTTTTTTTTTTTTTGTATCGTAAGCATTCTTTAAGTTTTTCAGTTTCTAAATAATGATTTTTATTAAAACTTTTTGATAAAATTACTTGTCAAAAAACTTTATTTGCAAAATTAAATTACATAAAATTATGAAGCTTATGCATACTTTTTGCTTATTTTAATGTTTGAAGTAATATGATTCTTAAAACTATGGAATGTAAAGTTTAAATAGGCCTTTCAGGTTATATCATTAAATTTAGTAAAACTATTTCTCAGGCATTAGGTTTTAACTCTAATAAGAAGATACATATTTTTTTCTGTTTATTTACAAATATTTTTCAGGTGTGTTTTTGATGTTCCTTCTTTAAATAAAAAAGAAGAGATACCATCTTGTTTTCGGTTGTATAAGAAAGGATATCAAACATTTTTCTTTTTTAAATTTAATAAGCCACATTAAAGAAGGAACGTTACAATGCTACACCCTACATTAAAGACGTCTCCAGAGTAACTGAATGACGGTTCATATAGAAATCGCAGGTATGCGTCTCATACAACAACGCCCCCTATAGTTCGTTGCGATCGCGAATATTAATTACTATATTGACGTTCCAGACATTGGGATGTAAAAGTATTAATGGATTTATATATTTTATATTAACTTGTAAATAACTGTGTATATTAAATGTTGTAATGTCTCCGATTTGCTTCGTTTTTATTTATCCAAAATCGCACATAGTAGGAAGATAGAAAACCTTCCCTTACAGGTTAACTATGCTAAGTTATCACACGTAAAATCAACATTAATAATTTCGTAAAGTATGATTATGAATTTGTATTTTAAAAGGCACATGAAGCCACGCGTTTTTTTTCTGTTGACATTTACTCTTTTAAAATGTGGCTCTATTAAATAAAGTAATGCAAATTCAACAAGAGCTACTAAAAAATAATTGAAATAATCTAATAAGCCATGGGTATATTCTGAATATCATAGGTTAAAGGATAATGTATGTATTGTTTATCCTTCTTTTGGTGAGTATTTCTAATTTAGAATATTGTAAATCTAATATAGTATAAAGCCACACCGGAATATCCAAAAAATAACCAAAAAAGTTTATGCATTAGGTGCTATGAGTGAGTAATATGGAAATATAAGGGTACTTGTCCGTTTCGGGGGTGATAAGAAATTTATTACTGCAGTACACCTAATTTGGTATAATAGGTTCTCAATGCCACAACACCTACAGCTGAAATACCAGTAATAATCAATACCACATTTAGTTAAGCATCCATGCCATTAATAATAGTTATGAGATTTTTTACGGCCTTCGAAATAAAAACCGACATTAGTGTCCCTAAAATTATATGAAAATATTTTATCTCTGCTAATTATTTTCGAGAAAGAAAAATTCTGTGTTAAAAAGCAAAATTAATGGAGAAAAAGTATTTATTCGTTTATAAGAACCGAAAACAATTGCCACACGGTTACTTTTTTTTTAGAACCGTCATTAAACAGCCGACCCAATTTTTGGTTTTACGACTACTAAGTTTCAACTCCGTAGACTTGAAATTTTGAACCCAATCCAGAAGACAAGGGAACTTCTGGATCAAGTATTGGGAGAAATTTGCCTTCGAGAAGGACTTTTTGATGGAACTAAATCGGCTACTTTAATACAATTAGTACAAAGAAAATATTGGTGTACACCAGATCCAATAGTTATGCATAGCTTTCAGTACATCACTATTGTCAAGTATTAACCACCATTTTTGATGTGGAAATACGCTAAAAATTTCTACAGCTGTATTCTGCTTGTATATAAATAATGAACATGTTCTATCAATATTTACAATTTGCTCTGAAATTATCATTCTTGAAATGAATTTATCCCTTTTTGAAAAGATTTGAAATTAATAAAAACAGAGGAAAGAAAGAAAGTTTTAGATGCAAAAAATTAATTCTTACAAGGAATGAATTAAAAATTATACACAAATTAGGGGTTTCATATTAATGCTTAAGCGAGAAAGAAACAAAAATGTAATTAGTTTCATACTAGAAAATCTAATTTTCAAATATAGTCTGGTTCATACATCGTAATTTGTTAATCACTAACGAAAAAGGTGGGAGAAAATTAATAAAAAACAGTTTGAATATCTGTTAAAACCTAGAATATTTCTAAAATCATCTTTGTAAGTTCTTTGTTTCTTCCCCAGCAATAAAGCAGGTTTTGATGTTTTCAATTTCTCATTCATCAAAAATGATTCGTTTGTTTACATGCGTTGATTCTCTCGCTTAAATATAAGTCTGAAACTTTCATCGTGTTTACTTTTTTTACTTTACTTTTCATAAGGATTCTACAAATATTAAGAGTGGTTATTTCGGAACATGCTGCAGAAAAACCGTGAAATTTTATCACATTTGTATATTGTAATAATGAAACAAACTATATTTTTCTTACTTACCGATTAAATGGTAAAAAGCCACAAGCAGCACTGTCATAAGGAAATAGTTCAAAATGATTTTTGATGTCATGTTTCTAAGAAAGTAAAATATTTAGCTATAAAATAATTGTCTTGCATAAGGTAAATATGAACTTACATGATTTTCAAATAATTTCAGAAAGAAGGTTTAATCCCTCAACATGCTTTAATTTCAACAATGAATATTAATAGAATTAAAAACTACTTACTAGAATGTAGAATTTCAATAAGAAGCAACATTTAAGGAACTAATTAAAACTGTTTACTGATATTAAGATTTATTCTTTTCTTAAATATAAATTGTATTTTTTACCAGAAGGTTATATAGTGACATAAATTTAAAAAAGTTGCAAAAAATTTTGGTGCATAGCTGCCATCATTTTTTGGTATCGAGGATTTGGTTACAGTGCATGTAGTCACAAATTTTATTTTCCTTTTCACTGCTATAGCTTTACCTAATTACTTATTCAATTTTTGTTTAGTGACAACACATATTTTCATGCGCTTTACAATTTGATAGCTTCATTGCAAAAATAAGCTCATTTTTAGTAATATATTCTCACTAATTCTTTCAAAAAGCTGTTATTTTGCTAATTTCATATAATTTTTTGCATTTAACTACAGTTCTTTATTTAAAAATGCATTTAATTTGCATAATTTCTAAAATGGTGGCAACTATAGAATACAAATATATATATAAGCATTCTTTAA